ACCTGGCATGAGGGTATGAAAACCCTGACCAGGAGCCTGGCTCACATAGGTCCCGTTAGGTTCCCTGGATGGGGACCCAGATATCATGGTCACCGGTAGTTAGAGACACAGTAATATGGCTGGGTGTTGCAAACAGTGGCGCTCATGTATCTACTCATTATTCTTGTCTATGGAAATGTGCTACCTTTCGCTTAAATCCGCTCTCAACATTAAGCATCATTCTACTATTTTATCCAAATGAGCAACCAAAGCCGGAGCACGAACGTGCATGGCTAATGGTTGTAAGAACTGAACTGAATTGACTGGAGTCGTGAACTAATAGCTGGTCGTTCTCTTTTCTCTTGGGATGTGAAGTCCCCAGTTAAATATATGCCGATACAAAATTCACTCGTTGAATGCTGATGTGTTGCTAACAACGCATGTAGTCCTTTCAGTGTTCCGCAAACCCGAACGGGGTTTACTAATTTCACATTTCTTTGACCTTATGCATGCACGTCATGTTGAGACCCGTTTCTAAACTCGTCTTCACTTTTTCAAGGCATGCCATTATTCAAGCTCAAATTGAAACGGGTAATCCGTTCATGCTTTACAAGGACGCATGCAACCGCAAGAGCAACCAACAGAACCTGGGAACGATCAAGTGCAGTAATCTGTGCACTGAAATTGTGGAGTATAGTTCACCAGAAGAAATTGCCGTTTGCAATCTGGCGTCTATTTCTGTCGGTCACTTCGTCGACCCCGAAAAGCGAACCTTCGATTTTGAGAAACTCCAGTACGTGACGCGCGTGGCAACACGCAACCTGAACAAAGTGATAGATGTGAATTTCTATCCGGTCGAAGAGGTAAGCAGTTTCATTTGGATACGGTTTTAGGAATGATTTAAACGAAAACATACATAACCTGTGGAATGAGTGCTCAAGTTCTAACCCCTCGACCTGACTAGCAAGTGTTAACCTGAATTCTTTTTCTTTCAAGGCCTATCGATCTAATATGCGACATCGCCCCATCGGGCTCGGGGTTCAAGGCTTGGCCGATGCGTTCTTTCTTTTGCGCTACCCGTTTGACAGTCCAGAAGCAATAGAACTTAATCGTCGTATTTTCGAGACTATTTACTTCGCGGCGCTTGATGCTTCTTGCGAACTTGCTGAACAACTTGGTCCATACGAGAGTTATGAAGGCTGCCCAGTTAGCAAAGGAATCTTGCAACCGGATATGTGGGGAGTTGACACAGAAGAATTGTCCAAAGTTTCCGGTCTCGATTGGGCGGGACTGCGTGCACGTATCAAAAAGTACGTTCCCTTAACTTTTTCATATATTGCTTTGGTAGTTGCACCAGTATTTGCTCTTCCATTGATGAATAATTCTTTTCTTCTGTAGGTTCGGTCTACGAAACAGTTTGCTCATGGCACCAATGCCTACGGCATCTACCGCACAGATCCTGGGTAACACCGAGTCCATCGAACCACAGACCAGCAATGTCTACTCTCGTCGCGTTCTAAGCGGCGAGTTTCAAATCGTTAATCCTTATTTGCTCAGAGATCTGATCCAATTGGATTTATGGTCTGAAGAGCTGAAATCTGCTATCGTAGCCAATCAAGGCTCTATCCAGCACATCCAGGGAATCCCGGAGAATTTGAAACAGCTCTACAAAACCGTTTGGGAAATATCTCAGAAGACGTTGATCGACATGGCTGCAGCTCGCGGTCCATTCATCGACCAGAGCCAATCACTGAATTTGTATTTGGCCCAACCCAGCTACGGAAGGATCACAAGCATGCACTTTTATGGATGGAAAAAGGTATGCCTCTGATTTTTCTCCTTGGTATATGTCTAGTGGTTCAGACCATTATTGTCCGCTAACTAACTAATTCTGCTGTCTGCCGATCTCTCTTTGTTTCAGGGCTTAAAGACTGGTATGTATTACTTGCGCACTAGGCCGGCGGCAGACCCTATAAAGTTTACTATTGACAAAACCAGTGTACGAGCGCTCATGGAACGCGGTGTGACGAACACTTCGAATGGCCCAACGATCGATCCGGAAGTGGAGGCTCAAGAAGAGGCTCGGATTATGGAGGAGATCAAACGTCGGAATGCGGAGAGTATTACGTGCAGTCTGAACAATCCAGAGGGTTGCTTGAGTTGTCAAGGCTGATGAGCACTCGATACGCGTTGGAGACCTCACCTTTCGCCCGCGCGCCTCGGTTATGCATTCCAGCTTGATTTCATTTCTTCACTGTCACCCCCGTATGTGTCTGAAACCCCAGATTGTATTTTCATGATATGAATATTTAATAATGCTTGAACTTTTTTCGCTGCTTTGTTTTATGGCTTTTCTGTTCTTTTCAATTACGTATGTCATGTGCGTCTTGTGATGCTCGCTCGAGCCGATATCGAAGAGTGGTTCAATTTGTGGCTATGTTTGACGTTTCTGTGAATCGATAGAACGGATGGCCATAAATTGCTTACTTGTTTCTATTAAAGGGGGAGCAGCAAATAAAAGAGATGAAACTTTCACATGAACTCAAGGATGCCGTTGTTTTTCGCTTAGTTAGCGTTCCATCACATCACTGCACGCTTTGCTACGGTGATGGTTCACCTTTATTAGGCCACTGCACTTGTCGTGTACTGTCTACCTGAAATAGTTACTTGGCAAAAGGTCATTGATCTCTAGAATGACCCACTAGGTGTACTAAGTCCCAAGGGCGCTACCTCAAAAGCCAGGGTAAAGGTATCATTCCTGATCCAAGTTGACTTGGTGAAGCCCACGGTTGGCGTATGGTCGTGACTCCTTGGTCACTGAAATCTAGGTGACCTCTGATTCTTACGAACCGAGCGTCATAGACTACTCCGATGCAAGCTAAGGAATACTTGCATTAGAACTCAAGGGAGAAATCAAGTGGTAAGCGTTGGTGTGCGTGGCCGAGAACTTACTAAGTTGCAGGCATTCAATTCAACGTATTGCACATAGGAAGGATTGTGTATAAAATGTGCTCATAGGGCAGTATTGACGATAGGGAGCAGGTTGGGATACCGACTGTAGGATGTCGCAGTGTCGAAATACAGGGTATGTAAAGTGTTCCTGCTGCTGGTATTGTAGAAAAACCACTGGTTGATACCGAGTCCGCGTTATTATCACCTTATGGGCGAAATCAGTATTAGGAATAGACATCGCAACGCGAGACGTCTTATGTATCTGGGTGTGAAAGCATTCATGTATATTGAAAAACGTATAAGCAGCGCTTAACTACCGCTTAGTTCTCGAGTGAGGAAGATGATGAGAAGTTTCAGTTGGGACTATTGAAACTTGTGATTAGCCATTCGTTTTCCGAACATCACCTTGAACGAGAAAAAGACTAGGTGAGGAGGGACGTTCGCTAGCTGCGTTGCGGTTATAAAAGTCTACCCGTCTTGTTTTAGTCTTCACGATCTATTTGGAAGCTCTGAAAAACGCACTGTCGAAAAAAAAATTGGCATCTGGAAACTGCTTAGTTTAGATTCACTAGTTTGGCTTTGCGTCCCAGGCTTGCACGGCGTGAGTTCCCAAGCTCAGCATCTGATTCTAAGCGGTTCGACCTTTTAGTCACGATATAATTTGCGCCGAATCTGTAGTACCTCCAATTGCGGCTTATGGACTAGGAACGTGCCCCAGGGGTTCCGTGAGGAACCGACTTGACGTTTCATCAGCTATTGATCGTGACATTTTCTTGGCATAATATTTTCATACTACATCATGGTATCTGCTCGTTGAAATTGTTAAATCTCATACGATGAGCGAATCTGATGNCAATGCTGTTAAGTGTGGTGAATGTTGGGTCGCGACTTGCTTAATTCATATCACTGGGTGGGTTTTCAGCTTAAAGAATGAACGGAAAACGATTTTCATGTCTCAAGGAGCGCGTCGCAACTCTTAGGGTTAAACGATTCGGTCGCTTTTCGGATGAGCAGTGCCGTGTCTCGAGAAACACTGGGCTAAGTTTGTCGAGGAGTAATTACGTCATTCTATGAAAGCCGTTTACTCGAACAGACTGCCTTTCAGTGGACGGTGATTATTGGTTATTTGAAATCGACCACTGAAAATTGCTTTGCAAGTAAGAACTCATGCGAATCTGGTAATAGGGTGTCTTGAGGTGATTGCGACGTGGGACCTACTACTCGTCTTAGGTTACGAGTGTTACACTACTTTGCCATTCCGAGTGTCTCATTTGGATGGTTTAAACGCCACTTAAATTCCCGGAAGAAATCTCATGGGGAAACTTAGTGGTGTATGTAGATAGTCGGGTGAAGTTTGAAAGATGTCTCGTCTAGATTCTCGTTGTAGTAGACTATTAATATGATATATATATATATATTTAACACCGGCTTGTAGACCAAGCATGGTGCTAACGCCACAACAATAATAACAATAACCAGAGCGGGCTGGGTGGATTGGTATACAGAACAAAGTGGAAAGAAAGTGAAACAGTTCGAATGGAACACCGTAGATAACTGGAATAACAAATTTTTTTGTTTCACCGTACACTTGCTATTTTTTGTTATTTTACGGGGCACAGGATTAACGGCGGACGGACCGTACATCGTTCGCGTCACTGACTTCTATTCTAGGCAATATCTCAGCGTCTCTAACCAACTACAATCCTCAGCCCTTTGGCCCCAACCTGGAAGGCGGTCTGCACCAACCGAAGCCAAAGGTGAAGCCAGCTTCTTCATACCTCTACACCATGTCATGGCCTGACCGCTGTGGCGTTTCTTCCAGCCTTGCCCAACACGGGGAGAGAACACGGAAAGTTAGTCGATGGGTAGGCATCCACAATACGCGACCAAGCCATCGAAGGCGGTGTAGAGTGATTACTTCTGTTAGAAAAGGACTATCCGCACCCAACATACGAAGGCAAAACTCGTCATTATTCACCCGATGTTCCCACCAAACACGAGCAATGCTTCGGAGACATCGATGGTCTAATGCAGAACACCGATTAGAATCCTCAACGCGGAGAGGCCAGGTCTCGCAACCATCAAGCAGGACACTGCGAACTGCGGCGATGTACAGCCCTCCCTTAATAGACAATCGGATGTCATAGCTTCGCCACAGGTGTCGCCGATTGGCGAAAGCTGCTCTGGCTTTCACTATTCGGGATGTGATCTCATCCCCAACACCACCACCAGCTGCCATCAAGCTCCCGAGGTACTTAAAACTCTCAACTACTTCCAGCTGATCACCACAGAGGGTGAGTGCAGGCACAGACTCCTGTCAGTCTTGGACAAGCACTCTGCACTTGTAAGATACAAGGCACATACCATATCTGGATACCTCGATCGCCGCGCGGTTCAAAACGTTTTCGACTGCCTGTGTATTGTCACCCAGCAAGGTGATGTCATCCGCATATTCTACGTCAAGAACTCTGTTCCCTGGGAGGAAGAGGACTCCATCATCATCATCCTCGTACAGCGAAATAAAGTGAAGCGAACTTCACTGATCGCTGCCAAACTCGCAATGCCTACAAGATTAGTGGTAAAATTTAAGGTGGACAGGGATTGGACCTACTTTGAGGGAGGAAGAAGTTGAACCAC